CCTCCCCCTGTATGAACACAAAATAAAATCATGAAACGAAATACACGACGGAAAATGAGCAAATTTAGAAACACGCGAAATGTTATTTGTAAAAATTAAATCGATTTGTGTTGGTTCCTTTCCCGGCCAGCGGTGAGTAGGGCAACCATCATTCGCGAGTTTAAAATTTAAATCGAAATTATTATTTATCAGTGATATTATTTAACATATTGATATTAAAATCACCCATGATGGTCACATTTTGTTCATGTGCCACCTTTGATATGATTAATTCTAATAAATTACGCGTATTGTCAGCATTGCATCGAGGTGCTCGATAAACAACCCGGAATCTGACAAAAGATGTCACCACTTGCTTGTGCGTTGTAGTAGATCAATGACTTATACGTCATTTGAAAGGCCTATTCAAATACTGTCAAAATCAGTCAAAAGTGTTTCATTTGTTTTTGTGCATCATATTTTTTTTCAACGATGGAAAATTTTGAAAATTGGAGAAAGAAACAGCATTTTCGGGAAGTTTTGTTAAGCTATTTTTTTGCAAAGAAAACTGCAGCTGAATGTCATGGTTTACTTGTGAAATTGTATGGCAAACATGCTCTCGCAAAAACCAAATGTTACGTGTGGTTTCAACGATTTGAAAGTGGTGATTTTGATGTTGAAGACAAAGATCGCCCAGGTCAGCCAAAAAAATTTGAAGACGTGGAACTGCAGGCATTATTTAATGAAAACTCAGCCCGAACACAAAAAGAACTTGCATTAGAGTTGAATGTCACTTAATCTACCATTTGTGAACGTTTGCGTGCAATGGGAAAGGTTCGAAAACTAGGGAAATGGGTGCCACATCAACTCAATGAAAATCAATTGAGAGCACGAATCACAGCATGCCAAAAACATCTTGCCGAGCACAAAAAACATAGCTTTTTGAATCGTATTGTCACTGGCGATGAAAAGTGGGTCTATTACGATAACCCAAAACGTAAAGGAGCGTATGATGATCCAGCCAACCAGGATCTTCACAGCCAAAACGAGATATTCATTGCCAGAAGGTTATGTTGTGCATCTGGTGGGATCAGAAAGGAATCGTGTATCATGAGCTGCTAAAACCAGGTGAAACGGTTACAGCCCAACGCTACCGCATGCAATTAATCAAAATGGAGCATGCATTGAAGATTAAACGGCCACGGATAGCGTCTAACTAGGCGTCTAAACAAGACAAAGTTGTGTTTCACGATGATAATGCCAGGCCACATCGAGCAGACATCGTTAAAAAAAAAGTACAAGACTTCGGTTGGGATCGGCTTGATCAACCCGCGTACTCTCCAGACCTTGCTCCTTCTGATTATCACTTGATTCGATCGATGCAAATGGGCTTGTCCAAGATATCGTTCGAAATGCTGAAGGAGTGCGAAAATGGATCGATGAATGGATATCGTCAAAAGATGAGGAATTCTTTCGACGCGGAATCGACAAGCTATCGAAAAGATGGGTGGAAGTCATAGCTAACGATAGGCAATACATTGGTTAAAAAATATTGTACGGTTTTTTTTAAATAAATGTATCTTTTCACCAAAAAAATTCCGGAAATTAATCGATACACCCATTAAATTAATTAGTTTGTGAACAACTCTTATTATTTACATTATTGTTAAAATTAGGATTGCGGAAAAGGTCGAAATTAACTGTCACATTTTCTCTTAATAAAATCTCATTCAAATTGACCATACAATCATTCAACGAAACAACCGGCTGACTAATTCTCTGTGAAACAGAGAATTTATCATTAGCAGCAATTTCAGTTGAATCATTCACACAATCAGTGCAATTGATATCGAAATCAATATTAATATCATCCGTTGAATAATCATCACTGTTAGAGTCACACGGCAATATATTTACACCACTGAACTGAATTGAATTTTTGATCAATAATTTACAATAATGCGGAATGTTCTTGGAAATATTAAAACGCGATAAATTGTCTTGAAATAAAACACTGCTTGAATTACCAAACTCGTGATTTTTCTCCTTTAAATTCAATAATTCAGCTCGATTGTATCGCATTCCCTTGATTTGGCACTTGACAATTCATACATCAACTCACAGAAACATGTGCAACTCATCGAACATGAAAAGAAATCGAAAAATAATGAAAAAAATCGGATGAGAAAAATGAAAATAATAACAAATTCAAATTCGCAGCCACAAAAACTAATAAAAAAAACACAAATTATAATTTTTTAAAAATATTTAGAATATGTTTAACGAAAAATAGCAGGTTTTGAATCGCAGCGAAAAATTTAACACACCTTGACAGTACAAACGTCAAACTCACGTCAACTTGTTATATTTTTAATGATATTCTAATAAGCCAAAAAAAAATAAGCCTTGACCCCCTAGATGTAATCTTGTGTATGCCTGATAATAGAGGATCAATATAGGTCGAAAAACAGCTTGAGTCACATCAAAGGGGTTCGAAATTTGTATTTTTATAAATCGAGCAAGATAAATTTAAAAAAATACTGAATATATGAACCGTTAAGAAACAAAGATACCCTCAGAAAAGTTGAGAAAAAAGCTTCAACTTAAACTGGAATGTAAATCAAATGTCAACATTTAAGAGTTGAGAATTAGAGAACAACAATAAAATAATGAGAAACAAACTGCACTTAAGTTATGACCAATACAAAATATGAACGGATATAGGACAGTGCCATTTCAGAGGTCCTCCGTGTTTTTCATCACCTGGTGATTCATCTGTATCACCTAGTGAAATCAGAATGAAAAAAATCGCATAACTTATCATCCAAATCACGATCTCGACTTTTTTCACATTTTGAGTGCTCTATACCGCGTCTCCGAATTTTGCATATAAACTTGCCTTGTGACACCTATTGAATAGTGAGAAAATTGGCATTTCGAAATTAGTGAGCAATTGTGAAACATTTCATAACAAACTGCATCATAACTTAATTATTTTATTGTTGTTCTCTAATTCTCAACTCTTAAATGTTGCCATTTGATTTACATTCCAGTTTAAGTTGAAGCTTTTTTCTCAACTTTTCTGAGGGTATCTTTGTTTCTCAACGGATCATATATTCCTTGATAGTTGCAACGTGTTCTGTGAGTCCCTCTACAAAATAGCCCGGTTTATAAATATAGGTAGGTGCGAATCTAAGGGGATATTTTCAAGAAAAAAACCGCATGAACTTATTTAAATCCCCAATAGCGTGGCAGCCTTTGCCTGAAAAAGGAGAATAACGAATAAGACGCAAGGAATGAAGCGTATACGCACATACACTACTTTCATCGTGTGTCGCTCCGTATTCTGTTTCGTGTTTTCTCAACTGACGCATAGTGCGAATGTCCCGGGTGAACAGTGCAAATTGACTGCTTGAGAGATGCTTCAGCGATTGTTTGAAAAAATGGCAATTTTTGGCCATTTTTGCACTATCGAAGGCAATATCTTGAAAACAAGAGTTTTCTGGGATATAAGCTATGCGGCGTTTTTTAGCTTAGACTTGGGCCTAAAAACGGTGAAATTTTCAATGGACCAAGTGAGGCTAGTTTTCGAGATGATGGCCGTTATGTGTCCGGCCGAACGGTAACTTTTTGGTTTTTGGTCAATTTGGTCACTCCATCTTGAAATTTTTGAACCGCAATTGGTATCTTTTGATAGCTCCCTCCAAGACCTCTCCAACGATGTGCATATGTCAGGGGTGTGTCAAGTGGATGTGCCTTGATGACCGTGGGGATAAAAGTCAAAAAGTGATTTTTGGAGGCCGGCCACGGCCAGCACGGCAACCAAATCAAAAGGTGCCGCAACAAAATCCGGTCTTATAAAAGTCTTGGTTTTATATGTACTTTAATCCCAGAAAGTTTCAAAAAGATCAGAATAGAGTACGCAAAATAGCGGACAGACACATACACATACCAAATGAATTTTATACAATAGAAAAATCATATGAAATTTTTAAAAATAAATTTTTCGAATGGATTGATCGATTTCGACGTTTAAGGTATCGTTGGAAAGGTATTGGGCTCTAGAATCAGAAGATCGATGTTTCAGGGGTAAATGACCTCATTTAGTGCCATCTATGGCCGTAGTCAAATTTTGACCCTTTTCTTGAAAGGACCATATTTCTATGGGTAAGATCTAAAAGAACGTATGTTTTTTTTTCGCTTTAAATTTTGGAAAAGGAATGTATGTGTTTTGCCAATTCTGTCTTACTAAAAGGAAAGTATGTTTAGCACCAAAAAAATTTTGTAAAAGGAAAGTATGTTTTCCGGCTTAATCAGTTGCTGATAAAGGAACGCATGTTTCGCAACAAATAAATTTTGCAAAAGGAAAGTAAGTGATTCGGAATCAGTTGTTAAAAAAGGGATGCATGTTTAACGATGATTTTTCTGGAACTGGGCTTCGATGGATCCTCAGGATCATCAGAACGCTCCCAGTTCTGGAAGTGGGTTTTGGTGGATCCTCAGGATGGACCAGATTATGGTTTGACAATGCCCTGGCCCATCCTGAGGGTCCACTTCCAGAACTGGGAGCGGTTCTGATGATCCTGAGGATCCACCAAAGCCCACTTACAGAACAAAGACACTTACGTTCTTTTATCCAAACCAACAAAACTGAAACATCTGGTGCGAAACATGCATTCCTTTTCCAATAACTGATTCAGCCGTAATACATAATCTCTTTTTTCAAAATTTACTTGGCGCAAAACATACATTCCTTTATTGCGACAAAGTCGAACACACTTGCGTTCTTTTAGATCTCACCAATAGATTTTGAAGACAGTTGGTCCGATTTTCAAACTTTGATATTTTTTCTTGCTCTATGGCCCAAGGGCTTTCCAACCATACATCAACCGGGGCTAAAGGTCTTCTAGGTCTGGATTTCGTATATTTCGTGTATATATAGCGAGTTCAACTTTTCAACACACTAATGTGGTTTCGTCACTCGCGCGAACTGCCGTCCGCTGTAATAAATATCGGTCTTATTTTGGTCATCGAGATTAAAATCGGGTTCTTAAGATGTCTTTATTTGTTATACCATTATCAGATGCTTCGTCTTCATTTTGATCACTTGGGATGTCGTTATGTACTTCGTTTAATCTTGCCAAATCCTCGGAAGTATGAGTTAATAATGGATTTGTTTGCGGTATATTCGGAGGAAGAGGTGCTGGATCTAAAGGCACGAGTATTTCATCAGCATCACGTAGTGTCGATACAACCGCCTGATGAAATTCCAAAAGATCATCGCCTAAATGTGTGAAGGAATATCATAAATAAGAAAAGAAAGAATTAAACTAGTTTATTTTATGTGCTGTATTTTTGGTAAAATTTGGAAAATTACATTAGAACTAATGATAATAGAGGCAAAATGATCATGACTATTCCATAAAGGTGTTTTCAGAAATTTGAATTTTGAGAAAACTAAACTTTTCAGTGTTGACATGATAAAAAGGATCCAAAAAGGAAATAACTTTTATTCAACAGTCTCGTTTTTATATTTCTTAATTTCTGAAAACAACTGTTTTAACTTATTTCAATTTATACTAACCAACTAGCCTTTGTACAAAAGATGCTGGCACTAAACCGCGTCGTCCATCAAGAAGTTCAGCATCATAATATCCTCCTTGTGGCTCTCCACTCCCCCATACTAATAAGTAATCACCAGTACTCAAAGTCAATTCACCTTCCGCATCGCTTTTATTAATAATATAGAAAAATACATTGTATGAAACAGAGATATATGATATATTAACCGTCTAGTTTAGGCTATTAAAAATTATTAATAATGAAGTTTTGAACTGATTAATTCTCATTTGCTGGGCTCGGGAATTTTTATTCACATAATTATTAGTTTTATTTCAATATTAATGTTGGTATTTCACCAGGACATCTACGACAGAATTTTTTGAAACCTATCCAGAAAATAAGTGCCAAATCAGTACCTTTTAGTGCCGCCGAAAAAAATGGGTCATTTTGGAAAGGGGTGAAAAAAAAGGGTGCCTGTGATTGAACATATTTTTCCATCATCATTAAGGGAGTGGGTTTTCGGGCATCGACTTTTTTAAGGGTTGAAAATGCATCTCTTTTTGATGCCAAAAATTAATAATAATAATAACTGCACCGAACAGCGTTTCTTCGCCTTGGTGGTTTATTCAAATATAAATAAATATAACACAATTTATTCAATTTTTATCAAGCAAATTTGAGAGAGATTGTTAATTTTTGCTCATTTTGTTCTTGCTTATTTACAAATATTCTGTTTTTATCTTGTTTGCTTTAAATAATTTTCAATTCTAGGTTTCACTGTTGGTAATTCTACTTCTAAATCAATCAAATTAGTATCACTATGTGGCATTTTTTTGGTATAAAAATCATTAAATGATGCTTGCATATAATTTATTGGTTCAAACATCGTGTAATCAGTCCTTCTTATTGGTAAATCAAATAAAGGAGTAGTTCTTGTATTATGTGCTGAATCATAATATTTTAAGCTGCCCGATACATAAGTTGACCTCATTTCTCCGTGTAAAATTTTGAAAATGAAAGACACTTGCGCCATCTTGCGTCTTTCCTCCAGAGTAATCATTTGCAGAAACAGTAGTCTGTGTTCGTATTTCGGCAGTCTATAACTATTCCAAGACATTCTCCTTAGTGCAAATAATAAGAATTGTTTTTGTATTGACTCTAATCTTTTGCACTCATTGTTATAGTGTGGATTCCATACTTCAGCTCCATATTCAATAATTGGTAATACAAATGTGAAATAAAGGCGTTTTATCGTCCATGGGTCAAAAAATTCCGTACTATGATACTTTAACCAAGCCAGTCTTGATTTTGCCTTAGCTGCTACAAACTCAATGTGTGACTTGAAATTCATTTTCACATCGAGCAACACTCCCAAGTCCTTTACAACATTTACTCTCTCAATCCGAATTCCATCTGTATTGTAGTTGTGTTCAAATTGCAGAGTACCCCGATGATATGATATAAGTTTCGTTTTGTTGACGTTTAGTTTTAGTAAATTGCGTCCATAGTAATTTGCTACACGATCCAAATCCTCTTGAAGATGAATGCAGTCATCTTCTGATTTGATACATTTATAAAGTTTTGTATCATCAGCAAATGAAAGTATGCATGAATTTGTTACAACTAAAGGGAGATCAATTACGAACATTATGAACAGAGTTGCGCCAATGGGATAACCTTGACCAGTACCAGAAGTTACTTCGATTGGATCTGATTTGGTATCCGATATCTTGACTATTTGTCTGCGACCAGACAAATAAGATTCGATCCATTTTAACAGCTGTGTATTCAATCCCATGATTTTTAGCTTTTGAATTAGTAATCCTGTATTCACTGAATCAAAAGCCTTCGTGATATCCAAATATATGGTGTCCGTTTGATGTCCTTTCCCCATGTTGATAATCGTTTTAGACGTAAATTCCGTTAAGTTTGTTATCGTTGACCTATTTTTGATGAACCCATGCTGACTTTTGTGGACTATATTTTGTAGATATTGATTGAGATGGTTTGTGATGATTGAATCTAGAATTTTTGACACAATACACTGAAGCGCTACACCACGGTAATTTTGAACGTCGTTTCTGTCGCCGTTTTTGTAAACTGGTCTTACAAAAGATGTTCTCCATATCGGTGGGACTGTGCCTGTTTCAAGTGATTCTTTTAACAGTGTTGTGATTGGCTCCTGTAGTGAAATCAAACAATGCTTGATAAATTTGTTTGGTATTTCATCAGGTCCAGTGACAAGATCATCTGGAAGCATGCTTATTTGTTGTCTAACATGCTCCTCTGTTATTTCAATCGGTGATATTTCGGCATATACATCTCGTATAATCTCGATTTCCGCGCTGTCATACTGTAGATTTGCTTCTAATGAGCTGTATGCTGACGCAAAGTGTTTCGCAAAGAATCCTGCTATTGTTAATTTGTCTTCTGCCTTTTCATCCAAATAAGTCATCTCATGTGGTAAATCATCACTTTTTCTCTTTTGGAAGTTTACATGTTGGAAGAATTTCTTTGGGTCATCATTTAAGATGTTCTCCATTTCTATTCTGTAATCCTTAAGAGCCGAGCGTGCACTGCATTTGTATTCTCTTCTTATTTTTCTGAATTCTTCTGTTGATTCAATTGTGTGGAGCTTTGTTTTTATTCGATGAGCCTTAATGACTTTGTTCTTCAAATTAATTAATTGTTTGTTGCACCATTTTGGATATTTGCTTACGATTTTTGTCTTTAACTGGACATGTTTTTCAATTATTGACTTTATAATTGTGTAAAAATTATTCAGTCTTAATTCCAAAGTGTTTACATTGAAAACACTGTCCCAGTCAACATCTAAAAGCGCCTCATTTATTTGTGCATAGTTTGCATTGACGAAATCACGATATGTTTGCTTTGTTTCATTTATTTTTATGACTGATTCATTGTAATTTATTTTGATTGCATTGTGGTGTTTTTCAAAATTTAATAAATGATAGTCGCTTATATCACATTGAAACTGCTCAACATCATTTGTCCAGATCAAATCGAGCATACGACCATTTTGGGTGTAACCTTTATTAATCTGGTGAAGACCCAATTCATAGCAAGTATCCAACACAATCTTCTCTTTATCGCTTGCTGAATTGATAGCAATTGCTATGTTCGGGTCCTCATTTTCATCAACAAACCAAGCCAACTTGGGAAGGTTGAAGTCACCAGACACAATCAAAACATCATTTACACTCAACTTCGACGCGATTTCTTTCAAGGCATTCATGTGATTTTCATATACCTTGAGTGTTGAGTCTGGTCGAATATAGAGTTCAACCAGAAAGATGCTTTGTTTCAATCCGCTAACTCTCACCCAAATCTGTTCGACTCCGAAATTATTTCTCGTTCCGATGCAAACTGATTTCAGTTTGTTGTTGACTGCTATCACTACTCCTCCTCCATGCTCCTTTTTATGCACTTGGTCCTTTTCAGTGAGAGATGTCCTGTCACAACAAAAGACCTCATACATTGGCGGGAATACGTCAGCGGAATTGATAGCTTCACACAAATGAGTTTCACACAACATGTAAATTGGTGATTGCTGAACCAAAATATCTGCAATAAAATCAGATAATTTAGAGCGTAATCCATTTATGTTTTGTGAATGGATCGAAATCTGCGCATTTTGTTCTCCATCTGTATGATTTCTGCATAAATCTCCGGATGGTATACTCGCAGATAATTTTAGTGCCCATGATTGATACAGCTATTTATTTTATTAAGAAATTAATTTACTTTAGCGAAAAAAAAGATACAATTTAAATTAACAATTTGTTTTGCTTACAAAATTTATAAAGATGTTTTACAACTTTGCTATTGCTGGCTAATGCAATCAGATTTTGGTCAGAAAAATTTGATGATTGTGACAATAAAAAAAATGAAAGTTCATGTACAATGTACAATTGTACATTTTGTGAACATTATATTTTTCGTTCAAAAACAAAGATATTTGTCGATTTCTGCTGTGTTGTAATAACAGTTTTTTGAATAGTTTTTTTATATATTCGGTTCAATACCGCAAAATATTTATGGAGATTGGAGAAATAGAGAAAAGTTGGTTTTATGTATGACTGAATAAATTGGCTTAAATGTTTCATTATTATTGAGTATGAATGTTTTAAATTTCTACGATAGAAAACGCGCAAGCATTTTTTCTTCTTAGCTACTAAATTCAAATAAAACTGCGCGACTTAGGCTTTCAAAATAGGCTGCGCAACTTGGGCGACTTAGGTCCAAAAACGAGGCTGTCCTCTAATATTACAAATATAAATGGTTGTTGTCATTTTCTCGACGTAAATCATATAAAAACATCATCTTCAAGGATCAACAAAAATAAATATGCCAATATGTTCAAAATGAATCAAATAGTCAGTTCATATTTTCAATATGATAATAATAACTGCACCGAACAGCGTTCCTTCGCCTTGGTGGTTTATTGAATATATTTCAAATAAATACAAAATAATTATATTCTTACATCTAGTAGTTTTGAAGTAGATTAATAATTTTCTCAGTATGTTTTCTATTCAATTCTATCTATTTTGTTTTAAATATTTTTCAATTCTCATAATCAATTAAAGTAGTATCACTGTTTGGTATTTTTTTCGTATAATAATCATTGAATGTAGTAAGCATGTAATTAATTGGTTCATACTTCGTGTAATCGCTTCTTCTAATCGGTATATCAAAAAGCGGCGTTGCACGGGTATTATGCGCTGAATCATAATAATTTAAACTGTTTGATATATGGCTCGACTTCATATCTCCATTAATAATTTTGAATATAAAAGACACCTGCGCCATCTCGCGTCTCTCCTCCAGCGTAATCATTTGTAGAAATAGGAGTCTATGCTCATATTTGGGAAGTCTATAGCCATCCCAGTTCATTCTCCTTAGGGCATAAAGTAAAAATTGTTTTTGTATTGACTCTATTTTTTTGCACATATTGTCGTAGTTTGGATTCCATATTTCTGATCCATATTCTATAATTGGTAATACAAATGTAAAATAAAGGCGTTTAATTGTCCATGGGTCAATAAAATCCTTGCTGTAGAACTTTAGCCAAGCCAATCTTGATTTTGCTTTAGCCGTGATATGCTCAATGTGTGATTTGAAATTCATTTGCACATCAAGCAACA